TTGAAGTTCAAAACTTTAAGAAGTTTAAGCTTTAAAGTTTAAACACAGAGATAATAGTTTTTTTTTTTTTTTTTTTAAATGATGAGCTGACCGCTGTCAGGGCCCTTTCTAACTTTCCAAGGGTAAAAAATTTACTAAAATAGTAAAATGGACAGAAGACAAACACACATGAACACGACAACTAAGTTAAGTCCATGCCAATCTATAACTCACAGCTGACTGGACATTGATTAGCTTCAGTGCATTCATTCCTTCAGAGTCCGAAATTGCCCAGCCACGCGACTACCTTCTTTCCCCGAATACAACGCGCGGTCATTATAGCTGTACTTAGACTGAAAGATGCCAATACACAGCTATAATGACTGTGCATTGTATTTCAGGGGAAGAAGTTGGTATGGGCTTAGCTACAGGGCAAGTGATGCCCCGCCATGTTGCAAGTGATGGCCCTGCCACGTGGCAAAGTGTGTGCCGTCCAGTTGCCAAGTGGTTTACGGCTAATTAATGGCAAGACATGCCCCGCCACGTGGGAGGTGTTTGCCCCCCCTGCCACGTGGCAGGTGTTTGCACTGCCGCTTGCCCCACGACGTGGCAAGACATCCCCCCCCACCCCCACCCCCCACCCCACGTGGCAAGTTTTGCTCCACCATTTGGCAAGCGATGCATGCTGCACTACCTGGCAAGACATGCCTCGCCACTGGCAAGATGTGCCCCGCCATGCGGGAGGTGTTTGCCCTGCCACATGGCAGTGTTTGCACTGCTGCTTACCCCACAACGGGGCAAGACATATGCCCCCCACGTGGCAAGTTTTGCTCCACCATTTGGCAAGTGGTGTTCCCAGGAAGACATGCGCCAGCATTTGGCACGTGGCGCGGCAAGTACCGGCCGCGCCACTTGACAACAGGAAGACATGTACCGCCACTTGGGAAGAGTGTGCCCTGGTGGGCAGCTGTGACTTCAGAGAGTTCATTTGCATGGACATTCAAGAGAGACATGCATCACAATTGTCTTAATGCTCCCAAACACAGTCTCCCCTCTCCTCTCCCCCCTCTCCCCTCTTCCCCCCTCCCCTCTTCCCCCCTCCCCTCTTCCCTCTCCCCTCTCCCCTGTTCCCTCTTCCCTTTTCCCTCTTCCCGCTTCCCTCTCTCCTCTTCCCTCTCTCCTCTCCCCTGCCCACTACGATCCGTCTCAAGTTCATGGCTGAAGCGGGCGGGTTACCATAGCCTGATTTTCGCCAGACTTCCAAAATAGCTGAGACCAGTCTGCGATCGATAGGACAAGACGGGGACAACTGCGCGGGTGCCCGGCCGAGCACCGGGGGCAACCTACCGTCTTCACCCGAATAGAAAGCCCGGTAATTATGGCCGTATCTGGACTGAAAGTTGCGTCAAATACAGCTGTAATGACCGGGCGTTCTATTCGGGTGAAGATGGTAGGTTTGGACCAGGAAGCAGAGGGGAAGCAGGGAAGTGAGCACAGGTTCTTTGGAAAGACTCAGGCTCGGCTCGATCAACAAAATACTGAGGCTTGGCTGTGTGGTAAATACACAGTCAAAACGCTGGACTGTATGGTAAACAAATCCACAGTCCAAAGATTGACTATGTGGGGTAAAAGAATCCGTAGTCAAAAGCTTGACTCTGTGGTAACTCAAAAAGCTTGACTCTGTGGTAACTCAAAAGGCTTGACTGTGTGGTAAAACAAACCCACAGTCAAAGTTGACTCTGTGTGGTAAAAAAGTCAAAAACTTTGACTGTGTGGTAAAATCATCCTCAGTCAAAAGCTTGACTCTGTGTGTTGTAAACTGAACCACAGTCAGAATCTTAACGCTGTGTGTGGTAAATCCAGGGTCAAGCCACCATTCAGGGATTCTCTCTCAAGGAGCAAGTAGTCAATGCCACCACTCCCATGGGATGCCTCCTTCAGAATGGAGGGAAAGGGTTGATTCAACTTGTTTGAGGTTCTGTCTGACGGTATACTCACACTAGGACCTTTTCGACTCAGCTGTGGACGTGATTGCAGTCAGATGCATTCAGGTCCGGCCGTAATTGCAGTCAGATGCATTCAGATCCGGCCGTAATTGTAGTCAGATGCATTCAGGTCCGGCTGTAATTGTAGTCAGATGCATTTAGGAAACTCCTAGTGTGAGTATGCTCTGATTCTTTTTCTTTGAATGTCAACGGGAAGCTGGACCACGTTTCCAGCATTTGTTCATGTGAATTCGTTTGACGCTGTTGGGACGATAGGCCCTCTGATGGGAATATAGGCCGGGTCTACAGCACATGTATCTCCCTACCAATGATCAGAGCTTCTGGTTTATTTATTTAAAAAAAAAAAAAAAAAAAAAAAAAAAAAAAAAAAAAAAAAAAAAAAAAAAAAACATGATATTGAGGATGGTGAGAAGGAGGATTATGAAGGGAAAAAAGATGAAGACGAAGGCAAAGACAAAACAAAAATAACGACAAAACTAATGAGCCCAGCTCAGTCGGTAAACCCACGAACTGTTGGAATACGGACCCGAGTTCGAACCCAGACAAAATCAGATGACAGAATAAAACAATTATTATTATTATTATTTAATACAAGAAACAGTAGTTTTATTAGGGCCCAGTGCCCAAGGCAGAAATACAATATCAAAGAGCGCAGATTCAGGGGTGGCAAGGTCTAGGTCTCCAAACCCGCTACATCGGGTGGAGCCCCTCCCCTATAGAAAACCACTGTCTTCCAAAAGCAAATATACCAAATCCCCGAGACTCACTTTCCAAAAACACCAAAAAACACCGCAACGAAAACCTTAATTAGGGTTTCAATTAATTTCTAAAGCCGGAGCACTACAAATTTCATAAAACCCCACCACAACAAAATTCCTAAGCCTAAGGTTTCTACTAATCCGTAAGTCCCAACACCCACCCTAACCCTAATGAACCCGAAATCCCTAAATTACACGTAAAACAGTTTTTATTTATTGCCTAAAGCGGCAATTGTAACCCTAGTAATTCCAAAAAATCATTAATCGCCAACATATTCCAAGTATCAAGCAAAAATGACAGTACGATCCCTAATACACCAAGATATGAAAACACTTCAGAAAAAGGCAGATAAAAATTTGAACTAAGACCCCTACCCTAAGAAGGAAAACTAACAGGAAAGTTAGGAAACAGCAAAGAAGAAGCACTACTATGGACGGGAAAGAAACCAGCAACAAAGAAGTTGAACCAGATATCTTCACAAAAACCAACCAAAGACGAAGTAAGGAACGATACACAAGGTAGTCTAAACCGGCACACCCTCCTGGTAGTAGCCCTTTGTCATATAAAAACACACCTAGCAAAGAGCGCCTGATGTCGGCGCCATCCGCTGTAAGAATCAGTACTTGGATAAGGATAACATCTGATTCTCCCTCCAGTTAGCAGGCGTGGTTGGGAAAAAAACAAAGAAAAAAAAAGCAGCCAAACGCCAGCAACAATCGCCTGTCACAGTCTGACTTACGGGAAGCCGATTCACAGGCAGAGCATTCGTCATACTCCGGCAAGTCTTCTCCCATGGCCAATCGATGACAACTTGACAAGCCACGTGCAGCAAAGCAGCAACCGCAGCATATACAGATGCCAATCATTGAACTCCAAGTTTTCCAACACTGTTGATGTAAGCAACAGCGCCATCCATAAGGTTCCATATCTAAAGACCAAATGCGCGAGCGCACGTCGATCTTGATTACAGTTAGCGTGCATAGAGGGGCAGCGGCACTCCAAGTAGAGTAACCACTGATATCCGCAACGCGCCGCACTCCCACTGGTGTACAGCATAACCCTTGTGGTCAAACTGTGCCAGTCACGTTCGTGTTCTCAATGCAAAAGCACAGCTCATGTGAGCCGCTGGAAGCACTGGGCATGGCGACCTCGGCTATGGCTTCCCGCGCCAGCAACTTCGGGCCGCAGCGCTGCATTGCTTAGCAGCGCACCGCCGCCGCCGCGCCCTCACCCCGGGATAAACCTCAGGTCGTGCCCAACAGTAGAGACACTTCTTTTTTCTGTGGTGTTTTCTGAACCGCCTGGGGCCAGTATGTTCAATAATGATATCTGAAGGCTGTCGCCCTTTATTAAAAAAAAAAAAAAAAATCTTAAACATACGGGCCTCAGACTCCTCCTTCGAAGCCCTCACAAGGGCAATGAGTACCTTCCAGTTAGCGTCAGAAAAAATGAGAATCAATTGGCCCAAGACAATGGGTTGGTGGTTGGTACAAGGGACAGAAGAGCACTATGCTATCATATGAGCAACAGAATTCGACATTTATTGTGGGATTTAGGGCACAACGTAGATTTATCAGAAGTGTACACTTCCGGAACTATTATGTTCTTTTTTGCAGCTTGTCTAGTTACATTGAATATCTTGAGATTCTCTTTGTCGTAAAAAAAGGTGTATAGTATAAAAAGAAAGTCAATGATATTTTTTTCTTTTCAATAAAAAATTAGAGTCTCTTACATTTCACTAATGGAAATCATAAAATTCTCTAGTATTAGTTTTAGATTTTTGTTATATTTCTAGATTCTAGTGATTCTTTTTATTAATCATTTTCTATTATTTATATGTTTTATATTCCATTTTATTCTTATTTTTTGAATAAAATGAATTTTAGATTTCTATTTAAATGAATACAAGAAAAGAAATCATTTCCTCACTAATTTGTTAATTTCATTGGTATAGATAATGTTGAAGCTTCAACACTCCACCCAGCGAACTACAGCGGGATGAGTTGGGTCTCAACTGCTGAACCCTTGCGGTATCTAGGGGTTAGAGTGGCGGACTCAGGCCCCCACCACTCGATGGCACCGGAACTCCTGGCCAAAATGCTAACAAGGATCAGTGCGTGGTCCCTGGTTTACACATCGGTATTTGGACGAGCCCTCATTCTTAACACATCAGTGTACTCTATGCTGTGGTACGCTGGCTCGATATGGACTCCACCATTCCAGGCAATGAAGGAACTAAGGAGAGAATCAGCGGCGTTCCTATGGACATGGAACCCAACTAAGCAACATTTTATCTCCAAGGTGGCATGTCGGCATGCCACTAAATCCAAGGACCAAGGGGGACTGGGCATACTGGATCCGGAACAGCAACTGAAGGCACTCCAAACAAAATGGATTTTGAAGCTGATCACACACCCACAGCTACCCTGGGTCCCTCTAGCTATGGAGTACATTAGGAAACAGACCGAGTACAAAAACCCCTCCAACATGGAAGGCACCTTTTGGTTATTAAGCAAGAGCTGGGCAAGGAAAGGAAGGAGTGGAAACGAGGGAGGAGCAGAAGAAGGAGGCCCTAGGGGAGGGTCGTATTGAGCTCAGCTGCTGAAAGGATGGACGGAAATTTTCCCGGCAAAAGTCAAGGAACCAAGCACAAGGGAGGAAGTCCTGAGACAACCCCTCTTCTGCAATCCATGGGTTAAGGACCAGCAGGGGAAACCGCGCACTCTTACGACGAAAGACACTAATGTAATGACCCGTCAAAACACAGACTGAGAGCACTGCTGATTTCTGAAGTTCTGCCGATGGAATGGATGCCTTGCTGAGATTCCTGCATTCTGCTGTGTTTTCTAAGTCTGTCTGTGTGTGCGTGCTTGTGACCTGCGTGCCTGACTGAGTGCTTGTCGGTATGAGTGTGTGTGTGACCCACAAGGGTACTTGCTTGTTTGGTAGGCCCGTAGGGCCGGTACTTACCTGTGGCCGTGGCATTGAGGGTTGTAGCAGGGAAAAACACTCAAGTGGCGAAGCTAGCGGCCCTGAGGCCCTTGGGGTA